CGGGCGTGGTGGTATGTGCCTGTAATCCCAGCTACTGGGGAGGCTGAGGCTGGAGAATTGCGTGAACCCGGGAGGCAGAGGTTGCAGTGAGCTGAGATCAAGCCACTGCACTCCAGTCTGGGTGACAGAACGAGACTCTGTCTCAAAAAAAAAAAAGGTGGAGACAAAATAACCACGTGTTGGTGTGCGCATGGGGGAATGATCCAGCAGAGGGGAAACTTGATGATGTGGGAGACGGGGGACTGCTGGGGGGTGTCCCCTCACCCTGGATCGAGGGATGGATCCATTAGGGAGAGCTGGCCCAGGTTGGAGCAGGGCGGTTCATTCTAAGTCCCTGCAGCCCTGAGCCGGGGTCGGGGGATGTGGTGGAGCTCGTGGACCTCCTGAAGTCTTCTGTCCCCACCCCAGGTATGTCACCACGCCGACTGCCAGCAGCTGCACCGCCGGGGACCCCTCAACCTCTGCGAGGCCTGTGACAGCAAGTTCCACAGCGCCATGCATTATGATGGGCATGTCCGCTTTGACCTTCCCCCACAAGGTGAGCACAGGCGGGAGCCACAGCTCAGGCCCCCAGAGCTCCTGTGGCAGTGTTTCAGTCACCGTTGGAACCATGCTAGGGCATCCTAAGGACAAGTCGACTGTACATAATGAAACCCGAGTATGTCACAGTTCCTTTTGTTCCAAATGTTTTTTAGCAAGAGAAAAAGTCCATGACCCTTCCAGAGGCAGGCCTTTCTCTATCTGGTGCTGTGTTCTCACTGGCTCTCACCTCCCGCAGCTGCTCCTGCCCCTGGCCTGTGGCCCACAGAGAAGGCCCCTTTCTTTCTAGTTCTGCCTGTCCTCAGGGCAGGGGACTTCTGGACAAGTCCTCCAAGCCAGGCTGTGGGCCTAGCAGAGGCAGTGTGGAGTGGGGTGGTCAGATCAGGAGGCACTTGTAGCAGGAAATAAGAAATTCCTCTTGCTGAGCAGGGACCCAGCTCAGGCCCACCGTCAACTGCCTCTGGAGGGCTGGCTTGCAGGCACCCAGGTCTGGTGAGAAATGCCAGCCCCTGTGTCCTTTCCCAGCTGATCAGAGGAACAAAAGGATTCTTCTGGTTGGGCACGGTGGCTCATGTCTGGAATACAAAAAATACAAAAATTAGCCAGGTGTGGTGGCACCCGCTTGTGGTCCCAGCTCCTTGGAGGCTGAGGCGGAAGGATTGCTTGAACCCAGACAATGGAGGCTCCAGTGAGCCATGATCGTGCCACTGCACTCCAGCCTGAGCGATGGAGGGAGACCCTGTCTTAAAAAACAATAAACAAACAAAAGGATTCTCTCCCTCTGCCAGGGCCCCTTGGGAATTCAGGTGTGGTCACAGCATGGGGGAGGGGAGGCCCGGAAGACAGACCCACGGACTTTGGTCCCTTCCCTGACAACCCCAGAGGCAGGACTTCCTTATCCTTATTTTATAGAAGGGTAAATTGAGGCCACAGGTGGGTTTGCTTTTGGGGTGGAGCTTTACCATGGGTGTTATCCCAGGGCCTTTGTGTCCTTTTGGGTCTGTGGGGATAGACAGCAGTGACTGAGGCCACGTGAGGGGGCTCACACCTGTAACCCCAGCACTTTGGGAGGCTGAGGTGGGTGGATCACTTGAGGTCAGGAGTTTGAGGTCAGTCTGGCCAACATGTTGAAACCCTGTCACTACCAAAAATACAAAAAAATGAGCTGGGCATGGTGGTGCACGCCTGTAATCCCAGCTACTCGAGAGGCTGAAGCACGAGAATCGCTTGAACTCAGGAGGCGGGGATTGCAGTGAGCTGAGATCACGCCACTGCACTCCAGCCTGGGTGACAGAGTGAGACCCTGTCTCAAAACAAAAAACATTGGCTGAGCCCCTCTCCTCACAGAACTGAAGGGCCCTCGCTACCTTTCATCTGGGGGTTCCAGGGTAACACTGTGGTCCGTCTGGAGGCGGCCATGCTGCAGGCTAAGGAGGGGCGGAGAGGCACAACCCCCTCCCGCTTTCTCCCAAGGCTCTGTCCTTGCCCGGAACGTGTCCACCCGGTCATGCCCGCCACGCACCAGCCCCGCGGTGGACTTGGAGGAGGAGGATGAAGAGAGCTCTGCGGATGGCAAAGGGTAGGTGAGGGGTGAGTGGGCAGAGAGATACCTGGGGGGGCCCCAAGGCTGGGTCTCAGATCAGACATTCAGGACCAGATGCTTTGGTGCCCTCTCCGAGTAAGGCTGACGGGCAGACCTCTCCCCACCCCTGTGGCTGCCCTGACTACGGGAAGAGGCCACCCAGCCTGGGCCAGCGTCCAGGGCGCTTGGGATCCTGGCCCACACCAGACCAGGTACCGTTCGGTGTGACTCCCATGTTGGCCACCAGAGGGCGCACAGCCCCATTCGGGCCTGGCAGGGTTGAATCCACGCGGGTTACCTGTCACCTGGGGTGAGCGAGGGGTGGGGAAGCCACAGGCCCACTCGCCGCCCACGCTGGTGAGGGCCACCCACACCTCCAGCCTCTGCCCTCCCTGCTTCCCTGCAGGGACCGGAAGAGCACAGGCCTGAAACTCCCCAAGAAGAAAGCAAGGAGGAGACACACGGATGTGAGGAGCATCCCCGGGACGGCACATGGGAGCTCCCGACAGCCTGCGCCCTTCCCTGAGCCTGGGCCTCTCTCCGGGACTGGGGTGGGGAGGTCTGCATCCCAGGCTGCAGAGGCCTGGGAGATCACTGGGTTCCCTTTCTTGCTGGGGTTCCCATCCCAGACCGGAGGGTGGGGAGGAGGATGGGGAGGAGAAGCTCACAGCTCCCCCCCGCCCCGCCCCATTCTCTCAGGACCCAAGCAAGGAGTGCTTCACCGTGAAATTTGACCTGAATGTGGATATCGAGACGGAGATCGTCCCAGCCATGAAGAAGAAGTCGCTGGGGTAGGGCTTGGGGGCGTTCAGGATGGAAGTGGGACTGGGAGCAGGGGTGGCCCCATGTCGCAGGTTCCGGGTCTCTGCAGGTGTGACCTGTGTGTCTGTGTGGTGGCCTGTAAGCGAGCACATCCCTGCATGGGCAGACCCGTGTGGGTGTGCACGCCACTGTGAGGGAGTGTGGCGGGGTCTGTGTACTTGTGCGTTTTAATCATGTATGCAGGAGCCAGGCCTGCGTGTGGGCAGGCGTGTGACAGGTCTGCCATGGTGTGCAGATGCGCCTGTGTGAGGACCTCTGCGGGCAGGTGTCTGTGGACCTGCGTGTGATCCCACACAGGCTTCCCTTTTCCGTTGGGAAGGTCGGGGAAGGTGGGGGCAGCTAGGGCTGTGGGTGGGGCAGGGGCTCGTGGGGGCAGGGCCCAAGCTGAAGCGACTGGCTGCCTTGTTCTAACGCACACGCCTCCTGTCCTGGGGGCAGGGAGGTGCTGCTGCCTGTATTTGAAAGGAAGGGCATCGCGCTGGGCAAAGTGGACATCTACCTGGACCAGTCCAACACACCCTTGTCCCTCTCCTTCGAGGCCTACAGGTTCGGGGGACACTATCTTCGTGTCAAAGGTGAGCAGCAGCCTGGGCCAAATGGGGCCGCTGGGGCTGGCGAAGCCTCCTGGAGATGGGCACCTTCCCAGGCTCAGGTTCCCATTGGCTGTGGGCCTGAGCAGCCTCATTACCATACAGGTGTCTCTGCTGGGTGCTGCTTGCTGGGGGGAGAGGCGGGGTCGGGGGGAGGGCTGGCAGGGCACGGCTGTAGGGGAAGGGCAGGCAGGCCTTGGTGTGGATCCTTTGGGGAGAGAGGACTGGGGCCTCCTCCTCCACCAGACCTGGGTACTGAGGATCTCTCGTGGCCCCCACATGCGGCCCCAGCCAAGCCTGGAGATGAGGGCAAGGTGGAGCAGGGCGTGAAGGACTCCAAGTCCCTGAGTCTGCCGATCCTGCGGCCAGCTGGGACTGCGCCCCCTGCCCTGGAGCGTGTGGACCCTCAGAGCCGCCGGGAGAGCCTGGACATCTTAGTGAGGAGGGGGGGGTGTGTCAGGGGAGGGGGTGGGAAGAGCCCCAGGCTGGACCCACAGCCCCTCCTCAGAGGCAGTCACCCTGGGTCTCTCACTTCCCCCTCTTGGGGATTTAATTGCTCCTTCTGGAAAGTGGGGCTGGCTGTGAGAATAAGGGACCCTCTCTCTCTGGACCTAGCGCAAGGTGAGGGCTTGTATCCGAGACTTCTAGTGCCAGCGGGTCAGGGAACCGGTGTGTGCATGTGTGCGTGAGAGAAGTGCCCGGGGCTACAGACCGCCCAGAGCTGTGTTCCAGAGTGCATCTGAGTGTGTGTAACTCTGCGCTTCATGCCTGAAGCTGGGGGACTTGGGGCTGATAGTCTGGGCGTATCTGTGTCTGGACCTTCCAGTCTCCAGACGTGTCTGGGTCCCAGGAGAGGGGACACCCCAGGGTAGAGATGCAGAGACCCTCCTCCATCCCAGGCTGGCCTGAGGCCCTGGAAACCCACCTTGGGGTGGGGCCATGGGGGCTGGCAGGGGGTCCCGGCCCTGACCACTCCTCCCTGGTCAGGCCCCTGGCCGCCGCCGTAAGAACATGTCGGAGTTCCTGGGGGAGGCGAGCATCCCTGGGCAGGAGCCCCCCACGCCCTCTAGCTGCTCTTTGCCCAGTGGCAGCAGTGGCAGCACCAGCAGCGGCGACAGCTGGAAGAACCGGGCGGCCAGTCGCTTCAGCGGCTTTTTCAGCTCAGGCCCCAGCACCAGCGCCTTTGGCCGGGTATGTGGCCCCATCTGCCCAGGGTCAGGCAGCTGGCTGGCCGTGACCGCTGACCCTGACCAGGGTATCCTCCCAGGAGGTAGACAAGATGGAGCAGCTGGAGGGCAAGCTGCACACCTACAGCCTCTTCGGGCTGCCTAGGCTGCCCCGGAGGCTGCGCTTCGACCATGACTCCTGGGAGGAGGATGATGAGGACGAGGATGAAGACAATGCCTGCCTGAGGCTGGAGGACAGCTGGCGGGAGCTCATTGATGGGCATGAGGTGAGTGCGGGCCACAGTGCTGCTCCCTCCTTGTCCCAAAAGGGGACAGCCCTTGGGAGGAGGATCTAGTGATGAGATGTTCCATGGGATGCCCCAAAGAGGCCACTGTTATTATGAGCCCACTTTGGAGACAGAGGCTGGATGAAAATGGTGTGCTGCTTGGCTGTTTCAATGGCAGAGGAGGGCCCAGATCTTGGGTGTCTTGACTGTGATTATTCACGTGGTATCAAGGGTGACCCTGCTCCTCTTGGGACCTCCGTGTCCCCGTTGGGAAGATGAGAAAGCTGCGTGCAGTTTGCTTATCCTCCCTGGCCACCCGAAGGTGCTCCAGGCCTCCTTGTTGACCCGTCCTGCCCTCCCTGTAGAAGCTGACTCGGCGGCAGTGCCACCAGCAAGAGGCAGTGTGGGAGCTGCTGCACACGGAGGCCTCCTACATCAGGAAACTGCGGGTGATCACCAATGTGAGTAGGGGCTGCACTGGTCCCCGTGGTCACCCTGCCCCCCTCTTTCTGGTCTCTTTCTGACAGCCCTCAGCTGAGTGGGAGCCTTTGCAGAAGGAGCAGGTGCCTGGCAATGAGGTGGGGGCAGGAAAGTCAGACAAGGGCTGTGCCCAGGGAGGAGGTGGCTCCTAGGGGAACCTGGGAGGGGGCTTCAGGCAGGTTTGCCAGGTTCAACTGAATTAGCACAGGTGCGGCTTCATTCTTTCACTTTCGTTCAGTGGCTGTTTCCCAACACTTGCTGTGTGCTGGGTGCCCAGCAGCCCACACTCTGGACGGGCCAGAGTGAGCCGGCAGTATAGGGATTTCGGCTCAGGAATGGGAGCACCTGCCCTGGGCTTGGAGCTTCCTGGAGGGAGGAAGCACCCTCAGAGGTGAAATATGGAGGCTGAGCCAGGGCGGAGGTGGAGAAGGGAATTCCAGGCGTGGCTGCAAGGCCAGTCTCCCTGGAGCTTCCCTCCAGGAGGGACCAGGGCAGCGTGACCCCGGGAGGGCTGTTGAAGGCTGGGTCTTTCCTCAGGGTCTGGACTTCCCAGGTGCGAAGGCCAAAGGGTACAGCCTCTGTATCCCTGGCTGCTGTGGGGCCTCCTGGAAAGGGGAAGGGGAAGGAGTGGCTGGGGAGCCTGAGGCCGGGTGGGGCCTTAGGGCTGAGACAACCTCCCGACCCCAGCCACACCATCCCCTGACCCCACAGCTGTTCCTGTGCTGCCTCCTGAACCTGCAAGAATCAGGGCTGCTGTGTGAGGTGCGCTGGGGTCCGGGGGCGGCGGCGGGTGAGGTACCGGGAAGGAGGGCGGGACCTGGACGTGGGGCGGGGCTAACATGGCGGAGGGGCGTGGCCAACCGCACCTCCCGCGGCGCCCAGGTGGAGGCGGAGCGTCTGTTCAGCAATATCCCGGAGATCGCGCAGCTGCACCGCAGGCTGTGGGCCGGCGTGATGGCGCCGGTGCTGGAGAAGGCGCGGCTTACACGGGCGCTGCTGCAGCCCGGGGACTTCCTCAAAGGCTTCAAGATGGTACGGGCGGGGCCTGGCGCAGGCAGGGGCACTAAGGTAGGGCTGGGGCGCTGAAAAGGCTCCACGGCCCGATCCGATCTGCCCAGCATCCCCAACCTCCCCCGGGCCCGTGACCGCACTTGACCTCCTGTGGCCAAGGGTGAGGAATTACGAGGCTGTCGCCCGAGTTTGAGCACCCACCTGGCCATCTACCCCTGCTTCCTGGCCGCGAGTGATCTCTTTGGCTGAGGCTCAGTTTCCTCATCTGGAAACAGGGATCATAAGCTTGCCGCCCCCTTGGGGTGGTCGCCCAAGTGCCCTAAGGAAGCGCTTGCGCAGCGCCTGGTGCGGGCCGGCCCGCAGGGAGCGCGCGGTAACCGGCGCCGTGGTTGTTCTGCCCCGGGCCAGTTCGGCTCGCTCTTCAAGCCCTACATCCGCTACTGCATGGAGGAGGAGGGCTGCATGGAGTACATGCGCGGTCTGCTGCGCGACAACGACCTCTTCCGGGCCTACATCACGGTGAGAGCGTGCGCGCCGTGGGCGGGGGGCGCAGGAGGACGGGACCCTGGGCGGGGCCAGGTGGGGCGGGGCCTGCCCTGAGCCCCGTCCCCACTCCCCCACCGCAGTGGGCCGAGAAGCACCCACAGTGCCAGCGGCTGAAGCTGAGCGACATGCTGGCCAAACCCCACCAGCGGCTCACCAAGTACCCGCTGCTGCTCAAGTCGGTGCTGAGGAAGACCGAGGAGCCGCGCGCCAAGGAGGCCGTCGTCACCATGGTAACCCTGATGGCCGACAGGGGTGGCCTCCCCTGTACGGCTGTCTGCCCCGTCATGAGCCTGGGCCTGAAGCCCCCTCGCCTGCCCCTAGATCGGTTCCGTGGAGCGCTTCATCCACCACGTGAATGCGTGCATGCGGCAGCGGCAGGAGCGGCAGCGGCTGGCGGCCGTGGTGAGCCGCATCGATGCCTACGAGGTGGTGGAAAGCAGCAGCGACGAAGTGGACAAGGTGGGCGTGTGTCTGCGGGGGTTGCCGGCTGGGAGAGAGGAAGGCCAACCTGGCAGGCAGGGTCTTTGCTGGGCATCTCACTGAGGATGCCTAGCTGAGATGGGAGTCAGGCTCCGGCCTCCCCTACACTCACGCCCTCTGTCCCCAGCTCCTGAAGGAATTTCTGCACCTGGACTTGACAGCGCCCATCCCCGGGGCCTCCCCGGAGGAGACGCGGCAGCTGCTGCTGGAGGGGAGCCTGAAGATGAAGGAGGGGAAGGACAGCAAGGTAATTCCAGGGCCACCCCACCCCCATGCCCTGTCCTTCCTGGGGACCCCAGTCACTGGTTCTCAGCTCCCCAGTCACTTGGATGGTGACTCAAGAACTGGTGACCTTGTCATAGTGAATGACAGTTCTCTGTCTGCCATTCACAAATCCAGCAGCAGGGTCCTAGCCCTTGAAGGCACCAGTGGACCCATTTGTGGGTGCCACGTGGGTTCCTGGTGGGAGGGCAGCCACATTCCACAAGTGGGCCAGGAACCCCAGAGGCTGGCTACAGTGCCGTGGCCCCTTCAGGCATGGGGCAGGCTGAGAGATTGCACATGGTGATTTCAAAGTCACCACTCTTCTTTTTAATGTAAACTTGTATTAAGTCATCGACGTACATCTCAGTGAAAGAGAATCATCTTCCTCTTCATTTTAATTTTACTTGAAGGTTCACGCTGGGAGGAGTGTTTGACAAAAACCGAATGCTCCCAGGGGAGGCTGGGGCCACAGTCCCCGGCCCTGACCCTGCTGGCCTCTCTGCACTGCCCCCCCCCCCAACTGCAGATGGATGTGTACTGCTTCCTGTTCACGGATCTACTGTTGGTGACCAAGGCAGTGAAGAAGGCAGAGAGGACCAGGGTCATCAGGCCACCCCTGCTAGTGGACAAGATTGTGTGCCGGGAGCTACGGGACCCTGGTAAGGGGCCCTGGTCCCCCGTTCCTGGTCAGGGACTGTGATAGGTGGGGGCCATCGTCTCTGCTGACACTGACTTGGGCCTTCCCTAACCAGGGTCCTTCCTTCTCATCTACCTGAATGAGTTTCACAGCGCTGTAGGGGCCTACACGTTCCAGGCCAGCGGCCAGGCCTTGTGCCGTGGCTGGGTGGACACCATTTACAACGCCCAGGTGAGCGCAGAGTAGTGAGTGGGTGGGCAGGGCAGATTAGGGAGCTGCTGGTCACAACCCATTCTGCCCCATGTACCGCAACACTGCCTGCAGAACCAGCTGCAACAGCTGCGTGCACAGGAGCCCCCAGGCAGCCAGCAGCCCCTGCAGAGCCTGGAAGAGGAGGAGGATGAGCAGGAGGAGGAAGAAGAGGAGGAGGAGGAGGAAGGCGAGGAGAGTGGCAATTCAGCTGCCAGCTCCCCCACCATCATGCGGAAAAGCAGCGGCAGCCCCGACTCTCAGCACTGGTATGTCTGCTCATGACCACCCAGCACGTCAAACCAGGACAAGTACTCCAGCCCAGGACTCCTGAAGGCCCAGCCACGCTCCCTTCCTCCCAATGGCTTCTTGTCATGAACACTATGGGGGCGGGGCTCTATCTCCCCCAGAGTCCAGGTGGGGTGGGCAGACACCTTTCCACGTGCTGCCTGCTCTGATCCATTTGTGGCAGCTGCCTGGGGTGCTGTGCTGAGGATCCTTAGGGCAGATCCAGCCTTGGCAGGGAAGAGTACTGGGCTCGCTACTGAGGTCTGTTGTGGGCACTGGAGCTGGAAGATCTGCCACACCTGCCACGTGCTGCCATCTCTGAGCCTCTAGCCCCAGGAGGACAGACAGGAGGGCAGAGGGTATAAACCACTGTGCACTGCCCAGCCTGGGGCTGCCTCAGGGCATCTAGGTTTCATGGCCTGGGCTGACTCTGCTCCTGGCCCCACAGTGCCTCAGATGGCTCCACGGAGACCCTGGCCATGGTTGTGGTGGAGCCTGGGGAGACGCTGTCCTCCCCCGAGTTCGACGGCGGTCCTTTCAGCTCCCAGTCCGATGAGACCTCTCTCAGCACCATTGCCTCATCTGCCACACCCACCAGTGAGCTGCTGCCCCTGGGTCCAGTGGACGGCCGCTCCTGCTCCATGGACTCTGCCTACGGCACCCTCTCCCCAACCTCCTTACAAGACTTTGTGGCCCCAGGCCCTGTTGCAGAACTAGTGCCTCGGCCCCCAGATTCCCCACAAGCTCCTTCCCCTCCACCCTCGCCCCGTCTCCGCCGCCGCACCCCTGTCCAGCTGTTAACCTGCCCGCCCCAACTGCTCAAGTCTAAGTCCGAGGCCAGCCTCCTCCAGCTGCTGGCAGGGGCTGGCACTCATGGAACATCCTCTGCCCCCAGCCGCAGCCTGTCAGAGCTCTGCCTGGCTGTCCCAGCCCCAGGTATTAGGACTCAGGGCTCCCCTCAGGAAGCTGGGCCCAGCTGGAATTGCCGGGGGGGCCCTAGCCCTGGCGGTGGTCCTAGGCTAGCTAGCTCCCTGGCCGGGGAACCTGCAGGCTCCCACAGGAAGAGGTGTGGAGACCTGCCCTCGGGGGCCTCTCCCAGGGTCCAGCCTGAGCCCCCACCAGGAGTCTCCACCCAGCACAGGAAGCTGACCCTGGCCCAGCTCTACCGAATCAGGACCACCCTGCTGCTTAACTCCACGCTCACTGCCTCGTGAGTGGCCTGGCCTGGGGTAGGGCAAGTGGCTCAGGGCACTGGCATGGGGGCCCAGTCATGCCTGGGAGCATCGCATTTGGGGAGGGTGATGGCGGAGGGAGCCTGAACCCTGCCCAGTGTCTGGGTGCGGGGGGCTGTGGTGGGCAGTAGTGAAGGGGCCTGAGGAGTGCCGTGGGGAAGAGAGGGTGACCAGAGCCACTCTGAATGGTGTCAGCCAAAGACAGACTCCCTTCCCCACCCTGTAGGGAGGTCTGAGCAGAGGGAGGCCCCCAAGAGTGCCACTGACCAAGAGGCAGTAGACAGCCTGCCTCCTGGGGCGTGCCGGCACCTGCTTCAGTGGCTGCCTCCTGTGTGCATGAGCTGGATGCTGGGAAGGATCCCTGCCTACACCCGGGCCCGATTCGTGCTTTGCCAGACTGGATGGAGTGGAGGCGGCCCAGGCCACAGTACCACCTGACCTGCCCAGGCAGCCCCTCGTCACCTACTTCCCGAAGTTAACAGCTCAACTCGAATCCAGGGCTGGGCTCCCAGGCTGCCCATCCCACTTCTACCCTCACTGGCCTCCAGTGGGACTCGCTCCTGCCTCGCCCCCACCTTCCCAGTCCCACAGGCCACCCCTGGCTTGGGCTAGGTTCTGTAAAGTTACGTATTTATTGAGCTTTTGGTTCTTTTATAAAGACTTGTCTAGACTCCACTGGGAAGAGTCCTTTGCTTTGGGGTCCAGTGACTCGGGGCACTTGAATTCAGGGTGGCCTCTTTGCGTTCCTGTGCCCCTCCACATGCCATGGATGGGCCATGGATAGAGCTTCCCATGGGAAGCACCTGGGAAGTAACGGGGGGTGGGGTGCCACCAGACCAATATCCCCAGACTTCCCCACCTTCAGCCACCATCAGAACCTCTCCCCAGGTGCCCTCCTGGGATTCAGGGCTGAATCTGCCCAGTTCCCACACTCTTAGGAAGGTGGGTCCCCCATGGGGGTCCCTTCAGGTACTTTTTTTTTTTTTTAAGACAAAGTCTTACCCTGTTGCCCAGGTTGGAGTGCAGTGGTGTGATCTCGGCTCACTGCAACCTCTGCCTCCCGAGTTCAAACGATTCTCCTGCCCCAGCCACTTTAGTAGCTGGAACTGCACGTATGCACCACCACGCTGGGCTAATTTTTGTATTTTAAGTAGAGATGGGGTTTCACCATATTGGTCAGGCTGGTCTCGAACTCCTGACCTCAAGTGATCCTCCCGCCTCAGCCTCCCAAAGTGCTAGAACTACAGGCCTGAGCTACTGCGCTTGGCCCCTTCCGGTACTTTTGGCCCAACCCCCTCCATGGCTGGGGGCGCGGAGGCGGAGAAAGAAGTCGCTTGCCCTGGCTCTACTTTGAAGTGTTTCTCAGGGTTGGGGCGAGAGTCGGGGTAGGGACCGGGATGCAGCTCCATCCTGTGTCCCTGGTCGCAGCAGGCAGCCCAGCGCTTCGCGTGTTCTCCTTGGCCTTTCCGCTTCTGCCAAATGAGTTCAGGTCTAGGCCGAGCAGAGGGGGCACCCGGTCGGACTCGGTTGGCCTCGGGTGGCCCCGCCTCCCCCCGCCCGCCAGGCGGGCCCTTCTCGACGGCGCGGGGCGGGCCCTGCGGGCGCGGGAGTGAAGGCGGAACCACGACGGGCAGAGCGCACGGAGCTGGGAAGCCCCTGGGCGCCCGTCGGAGGGCCGAGCGCGGCGCCGAGGGCCATGGAGCAGCGGTCGCGGGGCTCCGCGGCGGTGGCAGCGGTGTCTACGGTGAGTTGAGACGCAGGAGGCGAGGGGCAGCTTTGAGCCTTGTCCCAAGAGCCTCCGTGAAGGAAGGGGCCCCGGGCGCAGTCTCCACTCCAAGCCTCCCTGTGGCTGGGCTGGCCACCCCTTCCAACCTCGTTAGAGGCTCCACCAGGGCGTAGCCCTTCCACTGAGAGGAAACTCCTCCCAGGAGGGTCTGGGGGCCCCAGGTAGAGAATGATCAGTGTCCCTCCCCCAACAGAAAGCATGGGTGGGGGTGTGGGTGCTGCCGTGTCCCTGCCCTGGTGGACGGGAAGCTTGTGAGAGGCTGGAAGAGCCCCTTCCTCTGGCTCTCTGAAACCTGGTGTGTGCACAGGGGGAAGGAAGTTAGTCTCGTCTCCACCCATGGGCACCCCTTCTGCGGGGGGCCTGGGAAGTGGGCTGTTCTGTGGGCAAATGCTGGGGCCTCTGAAATGGCGGAGACCCGGCAGGGAGAGGCCCCACGTGGGCAGCTGCACTGAGAGTCAGCAGCACCTGTCCCCCAGGCGCTCCTCCTGGTGCTGCTGGGGGCCCGGGCCCAGGGCGGCACACAAAGCCCCAGGTGTGACTGTGCCGGTGACTTCCACAAGAAGAATGGTGTGTTTTGTTGCAGGGGCTGCCCAGCGGGTAAGTGGCCACAGGGGTGGGAGAGGCATGGGACAGACAGGGCTGGAGAGGTGGCGGGCAGGCCAGGGAGGTAAGAGGAGGCTGGCAGGGGAGGTAGGGGTAGGCTGACAGAGAAGTAGGGAGCTGGAGAGAAAGAGGGAGGGAGGGCAGGGTGGGAAGCAGGTTGAGGGTTGCTGGGCAGCCCCTCTGCCTGCCTGACCCCTGCCTGGTTCCACAGGGCACTACCTGAAGGCCCCTTGCACGGAGCCCTGTGGCAACTCCACCTGCCTTCTGTGTCCCCAAGACACCTTCTTGGCCTGGGAGAACCACCATAATTCTGAATGTGCCCGCTGCCAAGCCTGTGATGAGCAGGGTGAGGGGCTTCTCAGTGCTTGGCAGGGGGTTCCTAAGGACAGGCCTTTCTGAAGGAAGTGGCTGGCTTGGGCCCAACCTTGGGGTGTGAGGGTCCTGCACCCACCCTTGCCAGAACCCTCCACCCTGATCCTCCTTCAGGGTGCCCTTGCCCCTTCCCTCTTCCTGGTGACCTTTCCATCTCTCCATGTGCCTTGGCCTCTGGTCGGCCTCAGTCTCTGAGCTTCTCTCTTTTTTAGGGTAGCCCTGCACCTGTCTCTCACCTATTCCTGTCTCCATTATCTTGGGGGCGGGGGTCTGCCTCTGCCTCTCTATGGGAGCCTTTGGCCCTAACTCTCCACTCTCCATCTCCCTGCACCCCCACCAGCCTCCCAGGTGGCACTGGAGAACTGTTCAGCTGTGGCCGACACCCGCTGTGGCTGTAAGCCAGGCTGGTTTGTGGAGTGCCAGGTCAGCCAATGTGTCAGCAGTTCACCCTTCTACTGCCAACCATGCCTAGACTGCAGGGCCCTGCACCGCCACACACGGCTACTCTGTGAGTACCCCCACCCAGGGCTATCTACTCCCTGACCCACTTCTCTGCCTGCCCTACTCCTGTTCCATGCTGACGCATGCCTCTCCTGGACTGCAGGTTCTCGCAGAGATACTGACTGTGGGACCTGCCTGCCTGGCTTCTATGAACATGACGATGGCTGCGTGTCCTGCCCCACGTAATACCTAGCTGTCTTGGGATGGAAGGAAGGGCAGCTGGGAGCAGGGCAAGGGCCTGGGGTGGGGCAGGTGCTGCTGGTTCAGGAATAGGAAGAGGGGACAGGGAGGAGGGAACTTGGCCCTGTGTTGGATGGGCCCCACTTCAGGCAAACTTAGATGGTAAAAGAGAAATCTGCATCCTCCTTAGCCAGATAAATAAGGGTATATGCCTTCCCTTTCAGCCAGCATTCCCCTCAGTGATCCTTCTAGCCAGGTATTACAGATGATTTGTCACTTTTACAGACAGTCACATTGATACAGCTTTAAAACTTGGGCTGAAGGAGGTTGATGCTGCAGTGAGCTATGATCGTGCCACTGCACTTCAGCCTGGACAACAGAGCAAGATCTATTAAATAAACAAATATTAAATCTATTAAATATTAAATAAATATTAAATATATTAAAATAAATAGATAAATACAAAGGGCTGAGAGTCAGGATTGTGCTGCTAGTTCTCTAGGGGATCTTGGGCAAGTTTAGAGAATTCACATCTCTGATATGTGGTGTCCCTTTCTCAACATGGGATGTTAGCAGCTTCTTCACAGGCCTTTGATCAGAGGTAAGGGACTTTCTGTATCTGTTCAAGTCTTTTTTTTTTTTAGATGGAGACTTGCTCTGTCACCCAGACTGGAGTGGCTCACTGCAACCTCAACCGCCTGGGTTCAAGTGATTCTCCTGCCTCAGCCTCCCAAGTAGCTAGGACTTCAGGCGCCCACCACCATGCTGGCTAATTTTTTGTATTTTTAGTAGAGACAGGGTTTCACTGTGTTAGCCAGGATAGTCTCGATCTCCTGACCTCATGATCTGCCCGCCTCGGCCTCCCAAAGTGCTGGGATTACAGGTGTGAACCACCGCACCCGGCCTTCATTCAAGTCTTTATTGAATATCTCCTATGTTCTACACACTGTTCTAGGTGCTGGGGATGCAACAGGGAACAAAATAGGCAAAATCCCTGTCCTTTTGGGGTTGACATTCTAGTGACTCTTCATATAGTCTAGAAGCTGCTCAATGAATAGTGTCTGTGGTTGTTATCGGGGCACAATGACAGGAACATTCTTGGGAAGAGTGAGGCTCACAGGAGAGAGGCCTGGGGAGGGAAGAGTCTCCAGGATGGAGCAGTCTTGGGGAGCCCCTCCTGGCATGCACCCCCTCATCCCTCAGGCCACCCCCGTCCCTTTCAGGAGCACCCTGGGGAGCTGTCCAGAGCGCTGTGCCGCTGTCTGTGGCTGGAGGCAGAGTAGGTGGTGTGCTGGGAATGCGAGTGGGAGAACTGGGATGGGCCGAGGGGAGGCGGGTGAGGGGGGCTACCACCCAACACCCACCAGCTGCTTTCAGTGTTCTGGGTCCAGGTGCTCCTGGCTGGCCTTGTGGTTCCCCTCCTGCTTGGGGCCACCCTGACCTACACATACCGCCACTGCTGGCCTCACAAGCCCATGGTTACTGGTAAGTACACAGACCCACACACACACACACACACGCACGCAGAAGCCTGGGGTCAGGATGGGTAGCCCAGAGTCTACTCAACCCTGATACAGAAGGGGAAACTGAGGCAGGGGGTGCGGGGTGCAGAGGAACCCTAGAGGAGGCGTACCAGCACCCAGGTCCAGGAGGCTTGCCTGGTCGCTGACCGTCCTGTCTCTGTGTCTGTCAGCAGATGAAGCTGGGATGGAGGCTCTGACCCCACCACCGGTAAGAACCTCACTGTGTGATTCTGGGCTGCCTTCTGGAGCTGGAAGATCAAGCCTTATTGTGATCCCCAGAGCTTGGCACGTGGCTAGCACAGGGTAGACCTAGTAGACAGAGGTGTTGCGAGCTGGGTCCTGCACTCAAGGGGTGTCAGTCAGCTGGGGTTCAGACTTGTACACAGGAGCTAACAGTTCAATGGAAGGAGAGCCCCATGGTGCTGGGGGACAAGAGGAAGGAGGCGGGGGCAGGGGACTTGAGGCAGAAGCAAGAGTTCTGCTGGGCCACAGTGAGAGCTGGGCCAACTGTGGGAGGTATCACTGCGGGAGTGTCTGCTGACTGAACCAGGGACTGTTCCCTCCTGGAGAGGCACTGCAGGTAAGGGGCCTTACTTGACAAGCAGGGCTGACCTGGGGTCCCTCTTGGCTTCCAGGCCACCCATCTGTCACCCTCCGACAATGCCCACACCCTTCTAGTACCTCCTGACAGCAGTGAGAAGATCTGCACCGTCCAGTTGGTGGACAACAGCTGGACCCCTGGCTACCCCCAGACCCAGGAGGCGCTCTGCCCGCAGATGACATGGTCCTGGGACCAGTTGCCCAACAGAGCTCTTGGTAAGGGACATCAGTGGCCTGAGGCCTTGACCCCATTCTCCTGTCTGCGGTGGGAAGTTGTGGTTTCACAACGTGTTCCCTTTCTGCCCCCTAACTGACCGGGTCCGCCCCCTGTGCCCTGACCCGCGGGATCCAACGGGCTTCAGGCCTGGGGTACCCGCACGAACGCCCCTGACTCCACCTCCCGACCGCGGCCCACGTACCCCATTGGCTCTCTCTGGCCCTGCCCCAGGCCCCATTCCTGCGTCCACACTCTTGCCAGAGTCCCCAGTCGGCTCGCCCACCATGATGCTGCAGCCGGGCCCGCAGCTCTACGACGTGATGGACGCTGTGCCAGCACGGCGCTGGAAGGAGTTCGTGCGCACCCTGGGGCTGCGCGAGGCGGAGATCGAAGCCGTGGAGGTGGAGATCGGCCGCTTCCGAGACCAGCAGTACGAGATGCTCAAGCGCTGGCGCCAGCAGCAGCCCGCAGGCCTGGGCGCCGTCTACGCGGCCCTGGAGCGCATGGGGCTAGACGGCTGCGCGGAGGACTTGCGCAGCCGCCTGCAGCGCGGCCCGTGACACGGCGCCCACTCGCCACCTAGGCCTCTGGTGGCCCTTGCAGAAGCCCTAAGTACAGTTACTTATGCGTGTAGACATTTTATGTCACTTATTAAGCCGCTGGCACGGTCCTGCGTAGCCGCACCAGCCGGCCCCACCCCTGCTCGCCCCTATCACTCCAGCCAAAGCGAAGAAGCACGAACGAATGTCGGGAGGGGGTCAAGACATTTCTCAGTTTCTCGGCCGGAGTTTGGCTGAGATCGTGGTATTAAATCTGTGGGAAAAAAAAATGGCTTCTTGGCGTTTCTGCGGGGCTGGGGTGTTAAGTGGCCTGGACTTTTCTCGAGGGAGTCGAAGGGGACGGGAATCTTGTCACCCCGGGGTTTGGCACCCATGGTGGAGTCCAGTGTGGCCTTAGCTCCCAAGCCTGCCCCTCCCGAGTCCACTCTGGTCCAATTACTCCCAGAAGAGAGCAAGTCGCGGCCACAGCGAGTGATGAGAGCGCTTTAATGGGGCTGCGAGGAGGCGGGGACAGGGTCGGGATGGGGTGCAGCAGTTACAGACACAGGGTCAGGGCCCCTCATCCTCCACTGACTCCACCCGGGCAGTGAAAGGGTCCTGGCAGCGAGTGGGTCTGGCTGGGGACGGGGCGTAGACTTGAGGGAGGTGGGGTCCCAGGGGCCCCAACTGAGGCCCGACAGGCAGTTTTCATCTTTCTGGTAAACAAATGACTGAGAGGAAACCCTCGGCGGGGATAAGAAATGAGGCCCGGGCTAGGCCGGGCACAGATCTGGGTCAGGGACGGAGGGAAAACCCCTTCCCCGAGCTCGGGGCCTGCCTCCACCCAGGATGCGCCAGCGACGCCGGTTCCGGGGTGCGGGGGAGGGGACTGCATCCTGGAGGGGGCTGAGCCCCGCAGGAAAACAAAGTCACCACCCACAGGGCTGGGGAGAGCTCTTCACTCTTTGATATTCAACGAACATGCAAATATATGTAAGTCGGCATGCAAATAAGCAGCATTTTTTGTTGTTTGCATCAGCAGCTTGGGCACTTATTCTGGGCAACTGGGGCGGCGTGTGCACTCCAGTGTTGCCAAGGGCTGGGGATGCGGGGCCAGGATGGGGAGTCGGGGGGGTTCCAGCGCAAGAGGGGTGGGCTGTGCGGCTCCCAGCCCTTCCGCCGGGGCCTGGCTGGCTGGGGCTGGGGCGGGGAGCCCCTCCGAGCTGCAAGGCTGCGGGCAGGAGGCCACGGCCTCTAGTACTTAGCGATGTCCCCCTTCTTCAGGATGACCTGTCGCTGCCAGGGCGCCAGCTTGCTCTCATCGTAGCCCAGCGTCCGCAGCTTCTCTGACTGCTCCTTCTCCCGCCGCAGCTCCTCCTGCTTCTGTCGCTCCTCCTCTTTCCTGAGGCGGTGGGGGAGGGGGGGCAGACCCGGTGAAGTCTGGGGCCAGATACCCAGGCTGGCAGAAAGGGTGGGGCCAGGCACCAGGCAGAGGCCAGGTCACCCATGCAAGGGGAGGGTTACTGAGGGCGCGGGCTGGGTTGCTGAAGACAGAGGGGCTAGATTGGGGGCAGAATGGGGTTATTGGAGCACAGGGGAGCTGTGTGAGTGGGAGGCTGAGGCTGTATTATTGTGGGCTGGGGTGTTACTGGAAACAGAGGTGCTGGGTCACTGTGTGGCACCGTGTGAGGAGGTGGTGTTGCTGGGGTGCAGCAGCAAGATTACTGGGATCAGGACTTCAGTTGTTGGGGAGCTGTCAATATGAAGTATTGAGGACTGGGGTGGGGCTGCTGGGGACCAGAGAGACTACATAATTGAGAGACAGGGACTGAGAATTAGAGACAGGTTATTAGAACGTAGAGGGTAGATCTGCCCTGTTGACAGAATAGTCACTAAGCACATGTGGCTGCTGAGAATTTGAGATGTGGCTGGTCTAAACTGTGATGGATTGCAGGTGTAAAATGTGCATGATATTTCAAAGACTAAGTTTTATTATTATTATTATTATTTGAGACAGGGTGGAGCACAGTGGTCAGATCATGGCTCACTGCAGCCTCGACCTCCTGGGTTCAAGTCATCCTCCCACCTCAGCCTCCCAAGTAGCTGGGACCACAGGTGTGTGCCACTACGCCCAGCTAATTTTTTTTCTTTTAATTGAGTCGGAGTCTCGCTCTGTCACCTAGGCTGGAGTGCAGTGGCATAATCTCAGCTCACTACAACCTCCACCTCTGAGGTTCAAGCGATTTTCCTGCCTCCGCCTTCTGAGTAGCTGGGATTACAGGTGCGTGCCACCATGCCCAGCTAATTTTTGTATTTCTAGTAGAGACAGGGTTTCACCATGTTGGTCAGGCTGGTCTCGAACTCCTGACTTCAAGTAATCTGCCTGCCTTGGCCTCCCAAAGTGCTGGGATTACAGGTGTGAGCCACTGAGCCCGGCCTGCCCAGCTAATTTTTTAATTATTTTTTTGAGATGGAGTCTCCCTCCATTGTCTAGGCTGGAGCACAAAATGGTGCTATCCCAGCTCACTGCAACCTCCGCCTCCCGGTTTCAAGTGATTCTCCTGCCTCAGCCTCCCGAGTAGCTGGGATTATAGGCATGCGCCACCACACCCACCTAATTTTTGTATTTTTAGTAGAGACGGGGTTTTACCATGTTGCCCAGGCTGGTCTTGAACTCCCGACCTCAGGTGATCTGCCCGCTTCAGCCTCCCAAAGTGCTGGGATTACAGGTATAAGTCACTGCGCCTGGCCCCACGAAGCTAATTAAAAAAAAATTTTTTTTGCATGCCTGGTGTGGTGGCTTGCGCCTGTAATCCCAGTACTTTGGGAGGCTGAGGTGGGTAGATCACCTGAGGTCAGGAGTTGGAGATCAGACTGACCAACATGGCAAAACCTGGCCTCTCCTAAAAATACAAAAATTAGCCGGGCATGGTGGTAGGTGCCTATAATCCCAACTACCTAGGAAGCTGAGGCAGGAGAATCGCTTGAACCCAGGAGGTAGAGGTTGCAGTGAGCCAAGATCATGCCATTGCACTCCAGCCTGGGCAACAAGAGCGAAACTCTCTCTCAAAGAAAAAAAAAGAAAGGCCAGGCGCGGTGGCTCATATCTGTAATCCCAGCACTTTGGGAGGCCGAGGCAGGCGGACCACAAGGTCAGGAGATCGAGACCATCCTGGCTAACATGGTGAAACCCTGTCTCTACTAAAAAAAAATGCAAACAAATTAGCTGGGCGTGGTGGCCGGCGTCTGTAGTCCTAGCTACTTGGGAGGCTGAGGCAGGAGAATGGCCTGAACCCGGGAGGCAGAGCTTGCAGTGAGTTGAGATCGAGCCACTGCATTACAGCCTGGGCGACAGAGTGAGACTCCATCTCAAAAAAAAAAAAGAAAAGAAAAGAAAAAAGAAAAAAAGACCAGGCGTGGTGGCTCACGCCTAAAATCCCAGAACTTTGGGAGGCTGAGGCGGGTGGATCACTTCAGGTCAGGAGTTTTGAGACCAGCTTGGCCAACATGGTGAAACCCCGACTCTACTAAAAATACAAAAATTAGCTGGGTGTGGTGGCACATGCTTGTAATCCCAGCTACTCAGGAGGCTGAGGTAGGAGAATCGCTTGAACCCAGGAGGTGGAGGTTGCATGAGCCCAGATCACCACGGCACTCCAGATTGGGTGACAAGAGTGAAACTCCGTCCCCCCAAATTTTTTTTTTTTTTTCCAGAATGAGGTCTCACTGCATTGCCCAGGCTGGTCTCAAACTTTGGGGCTCAAGTGGTCCCCCTGCCTTGGCCTCTCAAAGTGCTGGGATTACATGTGTAAACCACCATGCCTGGCCAAAGACTTATTTTACAAGAGGAATATAAAACATCTCACTAATTTTCATATTGATTATGTGTCAAAATAATATTTTTGATATTTTGTGTCAAATAAAACAGTACTAAAATTAAGCTCACCTATATCCTTCTACATTTTCACTGTGGCTACTAGAAAATTTTAAATTGCATCTGTGGCTCACATTATATTTCTACTGGACAGCACTGGGCTGGGTGAGATTACTAGGGGCAGAAAATACATTCTGAGGGCCAGTCAAGGTGATTGATACTGGGGTTAGGTTAATTGAAGGGTAGAAAAGGCCATGCTAATAGGAGGCAGGGACTGAATAACTGGGAGCAAAGTTATCAGAGCATGAGAGAGAGATTCTGGGGGACAGTGGGCTGGGGCATTATAAGGAGGAAAGAGGCTTTGTACAAGGACTAAGAGACAGGAGGATGCACTCAAGTTGGTCTGAATGAAGGGATGACCCTCTGCGACCTGGGTGGGGGTAAGGGTGGCAGGTTGGGGCCAGCCCTGCACTCACCGCTTCTGCTCCCTGGAAGGAAAAAGAGAGTGTCACTTGGTCCCTCCACCTCAGAGACGCAGTCAAGACACCCCGCCAGGCCAGCCTCTGCCTGACCCGCAGCTCACCTCTCTTCTTCCAGCTTCTTCCGCAGGAGGTCCCGCCTCCAGGCGGGCATGCTGGCCAGCCGGGCCTCCTCCTCCTCCTCCTGAAACACAACCACAAAGCTTCAGGGCCTGCAGGGGCTGGGAGATAGGGGGTACCCTCAACCTGGGGACCTGAAGGAGTCAGGGTCACAGGAAGATACCCTTTTGATGAACTCCCGTGGGACAAGTGGATGAAGTGCCTGGTCACAGCCCCTCAGAGCTGGCCTCCTTTCCCCTAGTAACCCAGACCCTTGTGTCCTACAGGAGGCACTAGAGAGATCAGAGCTGAGTGGGACAGAAGCAGAGAATAAGTAGCTGGGACCCAGATGTCCTGAGCGTGATTCCCCACAGGGGCAGGTGGCCAATGGCCACAGGCCCAAGACCTCTGGGCAGATGCAGATGTGGGCCCCCGCCCAGCCTCTTGGCTCAGGGAGACTCCGGCTGCCCCTGGCTCCCCTGCAAAGGACCTTCAGCCCATGGTTGCCCTCTTCCCACAAGAGCGGACATGTGCTGTACATTTGTGGGGCTGCAATGACATCGGGGGCAGGTGTGGTGGCCAATGTAGGCAGTTTACAGCAAAGAGTTTTATTTATCGAATGTTACAGAGGAGAAAGGGTCTGTACACGGCACACTTCACACGGAACACTGCACACGAGGCTCTCTTGACCTCAGCCAAGGAGGTAACTGTGAACTCCAGTGGAAAACCGGAGAGCAGGCCACACTGCCACAAGGGGGAGCCGCAGCCCCTCACTCAGAGGGACTTCTGCTGCCTGGCTCCACACAGAGCCCAGCAATGCCACGGGGCCAGAGGAGGACACCTGGTTTGTTCTGTGCGTGCCCTGCCTATGCGACCAACGCCCCGCAGCCTGCCACGATGGGACCTCAGAGGCTGAGGCAGCCTGGTCCTGGGCCCTCCGGGCTGCTCAAGGCCACAGTCCTGGGTTCTTCCTGCTGCTTCCGGCCTCTGGAGGGCGTCAGACAGGCGTCCAGACCCACGTTCAGACGCTGGAGGGTGAACTGCGAATTCCGAATTCCGCTGCTCAGATGTCAAACAGCTCTGCCTCCTTCTCCTTCCAGAAGGAGAAGCTGCGGTCGATGTAGCGGCAGATGTCCTCGTTGCTGAACTCGCCCATCTCAGACACCAGTTCCAAGGGGTCTTCGGCGGGGGCTTCGGAACCAGGAGAGTCTGAGGTCGGGGGAGGCGCAGCAGGCGGGGGCGGCGGCTGCG